TAATTCAATGAAGTATATCGCGCGTGTGCCATTTGCAAATAAATATATACGATAGTTATAATTAAAAACGATCATTAATTACATACATAGGAATTATTCACGGTTGCAGTTAAACTCACTAATGATCACTGACCGCAATGTAATTCTCTGATTCTGCTCCTACTTTTAACAATAAGTTATATTAATAATGAACAAAAGCTCTCTGTTCTAATCTTTAAATTTATCTAAAATTACTTATCGTTATTCATTTTTATCTAAAATTACTTATCGTTATTCATTTTTATCTAAAAAAAGAAATTGCAATACAGATCCGCAAACATGTCCGAAATACAACTGTTTAATGATGACTAATGTATTATTCTTATACAAATAATTAGGAGAAGATTATAGTTTGGGTGCGGTTAGGCGCATTAGACGAAACTTGGAACAAGTCACTTGCAACAAGGTGTTTGCAGAGTCAGTGTTAGTTTATCAAGTAGTTGGCTTGGCAGGGCAGTTTCGAGCCAAAAGTTACCCTTAGCCAATATATCTATCCAAAACAAAAGCTATCCATAACTTATTGAAGTATGGAAGCTTAAAGTTTCAGTTTATCATCGCGAAACTATTCTTTGCTTTATTGCAACAAAGTATGTTTTTCTTATGAATGTTGCTGTATATTGTTCGTTTTTAAGTAAAAAGAAACTTCAAATTTAAATTTAGTTGCAAGAAAACATTTTTTTGATTATAAATTAAAGTTATTGATTAATTTAAGATATTTCTTGTTATTTTTTTTGAAAATAAGGAGACATACAGTTTTGTATACAATAAATTCTGCAATGTATTTCGGTGATAAATTGAATCAGTGCTATTTAATATCAGTATCGATTGAATATATTCTATGATACATTGTATAATTGTTTGCATTAGTAAAGAAGTGAAATTTTCGCATTAATAGCCCTCACAACTTCTCTATTAAAAGCTTTATTAATTGTTGGAAAATTTTCTTATAATTGCTTTAGATAGCGCGACATATTTATGCAATGTAATTTTGCCTATGAAATGCGAAGAACTTTGGGGTAGTATGTGAGCTGGGGACAATTTAATTAGCAGTTCATGAGATGATTAACTTTACTATCGCGCATGTTCAAGGTGAAATTACGACCTAATTGCTTCAACTACCAGCGATACACAAGATTGATACTGACATAGCTCGAGCGTCAAGTAATAGTATACATAATTAATAATTGATAGCTTGACCGATACTTAATTATAAAATAAACTTTCACGGCATTTCACGATCGCGAACTCGATTGCTTTTATTTCTTGAAAAGTCGCGAGATATGCAAACTGCAAGCCATCTACGTTTCTGCCGACACAGCCGGTGATTATCCGAAATGAAAGACAATTTATGCAACATGTGTTTGGCGTGATGATACACCTCCGATGCGTTCCGCGTACATTTCGTCGGCGCATTTGTGAATCCACTGGGACTGCATTCGACTGAATACTACTTTGAATAAGAAAGAGCCCAGTTTATCTTGTTTACCAACTAGCAGAGGCAATTGGAAAGGGGAGAAGGGTAGAGTATCTCGATTTTCCGTACTGGCGCATAGCCTCACTTAAAGTTCCTCGGACGTATCAAGTGATACGGCGCGATTGGCTGCCATCCAATTTTTCAAGACAATCTTTCAAAACTTTCGGAACGTCGGACGTCGACTGTTCGTCTTTGGAATGATGCCATTTCATTACCCTCGCGATGACGTTACGGGCAACGCCACGTTGCTCGAAATTGCCGGTGCAACTCTTTTGCAATGCAAAACGTTCATTTTGCTATCACGTGGCATTCTCTTTGCGAAAACACTTCAAAAGACGGCAAATCTTCGACCGATACTCGCAGCAAAAGGTGCAAGCCGGCGACGCTGCGAGCACTGATTAAAAAAATAGAAGACAAGAATATCTTCCCGACTGAAAATATACATTTATATGTGCTTGCAGTAGTCAGAACTTCAGAACAAAAACGAAAGATTTACGAGAGAGCTATTGAGTAAAATAGATTTGAGTTAAACAACAACATTTGAAATACTCGAAGAATAACGACTTTATAAAGCGGAGAAATATAAATGGCTGTGCAAATGCAAAACTAAGTGAACCCATTTAGAATCTTGCTTTAATCGGCAATGTAGTTTTTTTATGGCTGATTAAATGCAGTATTCGTAATTAGACCATTAAGTAAAAAAAAAAAACAATAATACAATACATCATAGAAACAGTTTTTGTTAACCCGATCATTTTTGTATCTATTACTTTACTTGACACCATATATTCTGGACAAATAAGTAATATTATAATTTATACCATTGAGATTAGATTACTAAAATTGAATATAAAGAAAAGTGCTTTAATAACAGAAAGAAGTTAATAGCCGTAAGTCAACAAGTCGCGGTGAAAAAATTTCGCTTTCTCGAGTGATTTATTTTCATGCGTTAATCAACGGATGCCCGAATAAGCGAAAGACCGGGCAGACTGACAAACGGAAGAAAAAGAATCGAGGTAATAAAGCCGGAGCGAGGACTTTAATAATAACGAGTAGGCGAATCCCCACGTTCGCATCCTCTTTAAAATCCGAACCGCAGCTATGCCCTCTCTACAGTCGTGCAGAAATCAATAGCGGGCATGTGCACGTAATTGGTGTAAGCGTTTCATTCCCATTGAATTAGCAACAATAATGACGCGATGATTTGTTCGGTTATATGAGCCACTTATCCGTCAATACACAATACACTGGATAATGATAATGGTAGCTAGAGAGAGAGAGAGAGAGAGAGAGAGAGAGAGAGAGAGAGAGAGAGAGAGAGAGAGAGAAAGAGAGAGAGCAAGATGTGTAAGAGAAAAGAGCGAGAGAGGGGCGAGGAAAGAAGAAGGGGAGAATCATCTTCTACCTGTAAAATTTACAGAGATCAATCGCGCAACAAATTGACCATTCGCTTTGCAGTCTATTAGACGAAATTTATTGCATCAGCTTTTTCCTCCGAGATGTAACATGCGTCGTCCCGTGAACGACATCGGATCGACATCCATCTCTTTACATCTATCGAGCGCCGTTAACGTAGAGAACTTGGACGAATTGAATTTACGACACCTCGAATGGAAATCTCGGTCGCTCGTAAATTTTGACACTACGCCGTTTGCAGCTTGCAACGCGCGCAACGAGGTAACTTACGGATCGAAAAAAAAAGGACTCGAATGGAAAATCTTTAGTAATTAGAATTCCGCGGGGATCGTGAGCTGTTTTATGACTCGCAAGCGCAAGTTTTCTTATCTCCCGTTTGTAAAGTCGAAGAACTTGGAAAAAATCACTGATCTAAACGCAGCTCGGGCAACTTCTCTTCTTCACTTTCCCGTAGTTTTACGTCTCATTCATAAATTTGATGATTTTTGACGATATAAATGAACTATTATGCATTCTATTTGTTTTCGTGAAAGTAATTGATTCATCAACAGCAAGAAATTGTTTCGAAAATCTCTCTAGAATTACTTAAACGACACCACAAACAAATTAATATTCCGTTAGAAGAGGAAATAGTTGCAATCTTACGGCTGACCTGAAAGTTAACTATGTCCTTAACCAAGTTTGCATTTCTCCCTTTTCGATCTTTATACAGGATGTTCCGGAATGGAATTTTAATGAAAGATTCTTTGATCAATTTTGACTCGATTTTTTCTTAACTCAAATGTCAAAGCGTCAATTGTTCCCGAGGTTGGACACCTAGCGAATGGAAATGTAGGACGGGAGAACTTCTGGCCTATAATGAAATAACAAAATCTTGTTTATTTAAATACAAGTAGACCTTATTTTTACGTACTTTTAATTACTATGTTAATTATAATGTTCAATATAAAAAAATTACACATAAAACTTTTTCTATAGATGAATCTACTATAAATCTGTCAAAGAAATTTGCTACATAAACGTGTGCTATATTAAAAATAATATATGCATAAAATATTTTTTATTCTTGATTAAAGTTAATTAGAATAATTGTCCTGATTAAAAAAACTACATTAAAAAAAGAAAAGCGAGCTGAAAATCAGAATAAAACATTTGACTATAATTATAATTGTATATGTAGATATGTGTGTGTTATCACAATTATGTATTGGCGCGCGTGTGTGTTTTTCGAGAGGGTGCGCCGGACACGGTATCTTCGCGGCCACTATTTCTCCCGGCGCGTCGGATAGCAGCGAACATTTTATGATTAATTATGTATTAAGTACTTAAAGAAGAAAGTTTTGTCGGATGTGCCGTTTAAAGTAAAACTATCAGAACCACTCGTCTGATATTCTCGATTTTAATGTCGTAGACACGCAAAATAATTTCTACGTTTGTTGAAAATATCAGACGCAGTATATTTTTTATTAAATATTGTTGAATACAATTTCGAAGTACTTGTTCAAGTAGTCGTCGCTCTTTTCACTTACTCGAAGTTTGCATATGTAGAGCATCGAGTCGATCAATGAATATGTAAAGTAACTATAATTGCAATAATTATATGTTGGACGCGTCGCGGCATAAAATATGTTTTATTTCATATTAGCGTTTTGCTTATTGCGGCACGACGAATTCGTGATGTGATTTCATCTCTAATTTTCGCGTTTTTCAAAAGTGAAGTGTATGGATTGATTATCACTCAGCAGTATAAATTTTAAGGCAGAAGTCAGTAAACTGCAATATTCTTGCTGATGAGCACAATTATTTGTTCGTTATTTAAATATGTACACAAATGTGATAATACATACATAATTACAATTAGTATTTATTAAATATTAATGAACATTATTGAATATTTATTAAGTGCAATAAAAGTATTAAATAAAGTAATTATTCGTGCAAATTACTGCCTATATTTGCTGCATATATTTTAATAAAAAATAGCAATTGTTAAATGATATATGATAAGAAAAAAAACTGCAAAATATGTAATAATTTATAATAACTCCAAAATATGTATTTGCTTTTCCAGATACAACGGCATGAAGGCGTATTTATTGTTGGCCGAGATACAACAATCGATGAGTGCGCAAATTTATTGTCAGCTGGGATACAACGATCGGTGAGTGCGCAAATTTATTGATTATATTTGCATAATTGTACAAAGTACATAAAATCCGCGCGCGCATGTGCGTAAGTAAAGCACGTATGTTGACTTTCGTTCGGTAGTGCGTGCAATTAATAGTAAGTACGGATTTCCTACATTTATTTGGAAATTCTTTGAAAAAAAAATACAGAAGTTTGAATTAATATCACAATGCCGCGGCCAGCTACGGGGACGTTTGATATTTTTATTTTAAGTAGTAGCGTATAGATCTCGGTTTTGATACGGGAGCACGTACACGTAAAGCGAGTACACACAAAGCGCGCGCTCGGCGCAAGTACGTGTCCGCAATCACCGAATGGGTGCTCAATAAATCAATACAAATGACCCCAAGACCAGATTGGAATCGAATAATGCAACGATTATTACGCGCACAAAGGGCGCTCGTAACCGATGCGCTACATACGCAGTATCCTGCATCCTAGCTGCCCACGCCAGCACGTTACAGAGTGCAACTGCTCGTGGATATATCACGAAATTTGGGACACCGCTCGGGAGTCCTCGGTTTGGCATGTATAGCCTGTGGGACAGATTTGCTTTTCGTCGAAACAAATCGATAGGTTCTACCACGGACGCTGCATGAAGCCAGCAAAGAATCAGCGGTTAAGTATTAAGAAAAAATTGGCGGGTTGCGAAAGTAATCGTGAGAAGAGCAAACTTTCTTGATTGAACGTATCAATTATCTTTTACTTCTGTCATCGTGATATAGAAAAATTGAAAATATCGCGTAAAGGTACAGTAAACTGAATTAAGATAATTACTTTTTTACAGATTATTTGGAAGACTGTTGCATTTTTGAAAACTACTACCGATTTTATGCGTTCCCAAAACTAAAATAATTTTTCCGATATTAGTTTTATATTTGATATTTTTTAAAGTCCACGACCTCTTAATTTCAGGAGTAAAATATGTCATGTAATATTGAAAATGCATTCTATTTGCAAAAGTTTCTAATATTCTTGCTGATTTTTGTCTACTTTTAGGTTAAAATTTAATTATCTTGAACTGCATCTACTATCTGAACCATCACTGGTTATCTATCGATTAATTGATTCAATATCAAATACTAACAAAAATAATTCCTTTGACAAAAAAGACCCCGCTTGATTTTTCCAAGCACATTTTTTATTGTGTTTGATTAATGACACATCCCGAGAATTTTCGTATTCATCTTTTGTTCCACCGCATGGGAATGTTCAATTTGCATGTGGATAATAGTATAATTTAATATTTTGTTACATCTCTGACGTGTCTGTATATCGGTGGAGACAGACCTCACCTGAGATATCTCATATTCGTCTCTCGTTTAAAGTTGTAGTGGGAAGGTAGGAGCGAGATGGAATATTTATAGTGCGCCGCTTCTCGCTGCGCGGTTTCGCTCACCGGAGGGACGTGGTATATCATGAATATTTAGAAAATAAAATCGGCCAACTTTGCCGCGTTGTGCGCGCGGGGGGGCGAATGCATGCAGGTGCTGGAAGCCTTCAGAAGTTTCCTTGATGGGATCTCGACGAAGAACCATCAATATTATTCAATGGCGCGACCAAATTCGTTCGCAGACGCGAGTTGCATTCGTAATCGCATCGGTAATCACGACTTGGGTATAATCGAAAAAAATATTTCCGTAGAAGATGCGCTTTTACAAAGAAATTTGAACCGAAGAAAACGCATCAGCGTTTTGCTATGATGCTCCGAAGCCCAAACTTGTTTCAAGATGATACGTAAAGATAAATGTAATCGTGTAATTAATTGCAAGTGTTTTAATATTTCTCGCAATAGATTCTAAATAATGCGAGAGAAATGATCTTATTGACGAAATTTTATTAAAACGATTAATTAAAGCTAATTGGCCAAAAATTTAGCAATCAATATTTTCAAAGAATATTTTTAGAAAATATATTTAAAAAATTATATTTTCCAGAGTCGCATTAATAATTATGTTTTGCGATTAAAAATATTTTTTAGTACTGGCCTTTTAATTCTTTTTCTCGTATACAGAATGATTTCTGTAACTATGTCATCCTTTTGAGTGCATCATGCTTAGCATATTTCAAATAAAATCACAGTTGAGATGGCTTTGTTTCAATACTGTAAGAAATCAAAGCTTTTAAGAATTCCTGACCCGTAGGCAACTCGTAATCTTGCCGCGCTAGCGCGATTCATTTATCTTTATGCAAGGGGATTTTCGTTAAAGAATGAGAACAAGATATTGATTATAAAGCGATTTTTCATGATTAAGAAATCAGAATTTAAAATAAATGTAAATTAAAAATTTGATAAGCTCGGCCACCTGTCGCCTCAACATAAACGCTTAATGTTAACAAAACCTTCTTTATTCAATGAAAAATAAAGAGAATAATTGCGTTTAAGATTTCTTACGATCTGATAATTTGTACAAGCTATGGTATTTCGTAGTATCAAAAGAAAAATATGCCGACGATGAATTTCTATTCAAAATATGCTACAGGAAGTTCATTATCTAAAAAGGATAACATAGTCATAGAAAACGCTTCGTATAACTTATGTTACAAGAAAGACACCTTTCATCGATAAGAATACTGAAAAATAGCAAGTATATCTCGCTGAAATTTTCCAGATAACAATATATTATATTGATTTGATTTACTATTTTACATAATATAACATAATAATTTTCTCGGTATAAATATTTGAATAACAGTACGTATAAAAGATGAAGGATTGAAAGTTTCCACAAAAATAATGTTCTTAGGAAAGTTCTAAAGAAAACCTTTTAGTCAGTATTTAAGAAGAATACATTTAAAAAAATCTTGTTTCAATTAGCAAGATTTTATCGAAACATTGCAAACTAAAAGTAATTCAACAATATTCAACACTGCTTTGAAACATATATTTATGATTAAAAATTGGAGTTGTAAAAATGACGTAACTAAAAACCGCGTTAGAAAAAAAATACGAAAAGGAAAATACAGAAAGATAAAAAAAGGTACAGGATTTGTTACGATATCTTAATCAGCAATATGTTGAGTACGCATGTTAAAATGGTCGTATAAACAATAACCTTTTGTTACATTTTCTTTAGGATTAGTATCTCGCATTATTATTAAGCTTATTACAGAACTCGCGCGTAGAGTGAGAACGAGCGAAATAATCTAGATCGTTGTTGTGCAAAACAAAGGGATCTCATAAGCTACCCTTGGGTTATTCTGCGGCGAGAACCCGTAAGCGTTGATCATTGATTAATAAGCGCACTTGTATATATTACATATGCGCATCCGCATGTGCATATCTGTTTCGTGAATAAGTATATGCACGGAACAAGATGGTTAATGAAGTCGGGTGCTATCAACGACAATTCGATGACATTAAAACGATACTGGTAGGGAAACAATTTCGCTATTATGGGATCAAAGCGGACGTCATTCGACGTTACGTTGTATACGCGACTAATATTTTCATCAAACGAAGTGTACAAGTCGTATAAGTGTTTATTGCCTCCGTCGCACCATGGACGAAATTTGCAACTACTTGTTGCACGCCAATGAAATCACGATTATTGATTCACTTCTCTAGTGACCGATACTCGCATAGTGAAACTCACCATTGGATACGTTCAATGAATTGCGTTTTCGATTAATTATCATTTCACTAATGGAATTTTTCCATCATCGTATTACGTGTAAAAAATCTTTTTTATGTGAAATAATTTAATATCTTTAATATTTAATGATTAAATTTACATATATCTTAAATAAATTCACATTCCGCATGCGTTCTGCCATGAGATTTGTATTGATTAATTTATTTCATAAAAGAATATTATACAATCAAATGAATTATTTACAGAACAAATTTTATAATATATATACGTATAACAGTTATTTCCAAAGCATAAAATTGAAAAGAATAAAATGTGAAGAATGATGAGACGATAAAAAGCTGAGAGAGATAAAAATTGATTTTTTTTCGCATCGTTTATTTTACACATACCGCATTCTATCGTTAAAGTTTATCAAAGGAAATTGTTAATTGTTTCGGACAATCGGGCAAATACATATGCAAAGAGCAAAATAAACTGAATGTTTCGTGCTTGCAAATTCGATGAACGATAAAAACAGGATGTAGCTTTTGTTTAAAAAAGGGAACAAAAAATTCACTCGCGTGCCACACGGCAGCGGATTGCTTTGAAAGTTTTCCCGAGGCGATTTCGCGGGTTGATCGTCGGGCAACTTTCCTTAATTTTCCATGAAAGTTCCGTCGACACGACGTTACATGTTACCTCGGTTGTAAATAAAATACATTAACAGTTCCGAATCATAGACACTTACGGAACACGATGCGGCGCTGTATTTTATCAACGAAGACTAAGGAAAACCGCATACGCGTTGTACAACAGCGACTTACTGAAAGTTTTGCGCGCTTCCCGCAGGATGGTGACGTTCAACATAATTAAGTAAAGAATTTCTGTCGGCGTCGTTTTAATATTTAAGCAAATACTTCTGTCCGCGAAAATGAACTATGTTTTTCAAACAAATTTACGAGTGAAATAAATAATGAAGAATTACTCTTGATTTTACAGAATATAAGTCGATTTACCTAATTAATCTTTATATATTCTTTATGCATCTCGCGCGATAGATTTAAGTAACCAAGATTTTAATTTTAGAATTCATCGATTTCTAATATTAAACGTCATTGGTAATAAAACTGAAGTAACATGCTATAAAAATAGGATCCACTGGGAAGTAAGGAAAACTTAGAATATTCGATATTTGAATATAAATTGTCTTTGTCTTCGAATTCTTTCTTTGCAACGCTCAGCATTTGTATAAAAAAAAGCAGATAAAGTTTTTCATGATCAACTTTCACCATCCCTCGATATAATACACATATTGCCTGCTAGATGGAGAATATATATGTTTCAAACTTGTACGCTAGAGACGCGAATGATTATCATGACCGATTTGTGCACGCTGGCG